GGTTACAACAAGGCAAGTCACTGCCCCAAGTGGGGCCTCTTCTACCTCCAGTAATCCAGCCTGCACCGGCCACCAGCTCCTGCCCCATCCAATGCCTGTCTACCCTCCAAGGCTCTTTTCAGATACCACAGCATCCACCGATCCCTCCCTGCTCAGCATATGCCCCCACCCCAGACCCAGGCTCACACTGGGCCACCCCCTGGTTCCCCCAGAGTGCTCTGGGGGTCCTGGGCTACCTCCCTGAAGCATTTGTCACTCTTGATTGGAACTGCCTGTTTCAGGTCTGCATCTTCCAGACCTTTTGACCAGCTCTGCTTGTTCTTTTTCCTATTGTACTTTTTACTTCTAACATATTATTATAATTTACTTATTTATTACACATATGTGCATTAGCTATCTCCCTCAATTAAAATTTAAGCTCCTAACCATATCGTTTACCTAATTTGTTTACTGAAATATCCCAAGTGCTGAGAACAGCACTTGGCTGACAGGAGCAGCTCCAAGAGTATTTGTTGAGTGAAAGAATAAATCATTCCCATCACTATTTGCCTCTTGAGAGCAGGAACTATCTTGACTCTGTAGCCCAGCATGGTAGACAGAACAATGCTCCCCTGCAGAAGACATCCATGTCCTAATGCTGGAGCCTGTGAATACGTCACCTCTCATGGCGAAAGGGGCTCTGCAGGTGTGATTACATTAAAGATCTGGCAACGGGGGGATTATCCCATGTGGATAATCCTAGATTATCTAGGCAGGTCCAGTATAATCAGAAGGGTCCTGACAAAAGGGGGGTCAGAGGGTCGGGAACAGAGGTCAGAGTGACAGGAGGTGAGATGACCTGCCCTTGCCGGCTCCGAAGATGGAGGAAGGGGGCCCTGGGTGGAGGAATGCAGGTGGCCTCTAGGTGCTGGAACAGGCCAGAAAGGAATCCTTCCCAGGAGGAAGGTAGCTCTCTCGAAACCTCGATTTTAGCACAGGGAGATCAACTTCAGACTTCTGACCTCCAGAATTGTAAGATAATAAGTTTGTGCTGTTTTAAGACACTAAGTTTATGGTAATTTGTGACAGTGGCAATAGGAAACTGATACATCCAGGGATCGAACACGCCGCAACTGCTCAGTAAATGCTGTGGAATGAACGACTGTAAATCATAAATGTTACTTTTATCTTCTCAAATAAAATTTAATCCATAAGCACAGCCACAAGTGACTGAAGCCATGAGCCAATGGTGATGACGACTGTTGCTGTTATTATTTTCTTAGGTTTTTCCTTTCCTTTAAAAAACTAATTTTGACTCAGAGATACTCATGATAGCATTTCCTGTGCTGACAGGTCTTACATCTACCTATGTAGGCAGTTTTATTAATCAAATATAAATTTCTTCCTCATAAAAGCAAGCACTGTCTGGGGGATGGACACGCTTGAAGCTCTGACTTCGGGGGTGGGGGGACAAGGGCAATATACGTAACCTATACATTTGTACCCCCATAATATGCTGAAATAAAAAAAAAAGATTTAACAAAAAGAAAAGAAAAAAGAAACCAATTTATTTAATGAAAACTGGTCTTAACACACACACACACACCCACCCACACTTAATTGTATTTAAGTTCTCACCTGGCTCCTTCTGCCAGGCTGGAGAGGGGTACACAAAGGTTCTTTCTGAGCATTTTGAAATGCTTGATCTTTATGAATCTGTTTTTAATGCTGACATTTGAGAAAAGAGAGAAGTGACGAGGAGTCACTGAGGACACGTTTCTGCATTCAACGGAGAATTTAAATGGTCTAAATTATGGGACAAATCTTTTCCAAGTCTCTTTAAAGAACAAGAATAAACCAGTTTTTTCCTAGACCTCTCCTTTCCAACACTCTCAGCCCACCTGCCTGGCCTCCACTACTTTTATCCCAGAAACCAAAAACCCAAAAAGATTTGGGATTAATCACTTTGAATTATTATTGATGAATTTTGATACATATGATTCTTTTCAACTAACATTAATAAATCGGGAAAACAAAATTATAAACAGAGCATATATCTGTTTACATGGGAAAGAAATTTTGAAATTTTTAAAAATCTTGAAATCCAAAACCATCGACTCATATACAACCTAGAATTCATTTTTGGCCTTGTAGAAGCTGTATATACAACAGGAAACTTTGAAAAGATCTCAAATATGCTATCCAATAGTAATTTTAAACATTTGTTCTGCTATATACATCATACATTAATACTTTATGCTGGGGCAATTCTTGCTTTTTCTCTCCAGCACTGATTTACAGGATATAATTGGAGAAGCGAAACATGAAACCCACAGCCTAGCCAATTCCATTTCATAAACATTTATTGAACTACGCTGTGCGATGTCTAGGGTTGAAGCAAGAGGAAATCCCTAACATCCAGGTGTTCCCCACACAGTAGAGAGCTTCACTGCTTTCCAACAGGTGCACTAGAGTTCACATTTCAATGGCTTCAGCACACTCATTAAGCGGATGTAATTTCACAACTGAAAAATCCTAAACCAGAGTTTAATTGAAAGAAAAAAATTGAAACCAATTTCTTTAATAAAAATAGCTGTATTTCAATTTAAATGATAGGACAATTGAAATAGACGGCATTCTTTCACCTGGGAGAACCTGAAACATTGCAATCCCTTTGCTATAGGAGTGGGTACTTAACATCTACCTGCCCATCAGGCCATCCGTCCACTCTCCTATCCATCATTTATCAACAGCTGCCGTGAGCTAGGTGCCGGCCAGGCAGACAAGATAGTGACTAGGACACACACCTTCTTAGGGAACATTTCCAAATGCAGTTACTCACAACTGTGTTCAACAGCATCACTCTTAGCCCTGTGTTTGCAATAAGAAGATCCTGCGAAGGGTGCCTCTGTTTTCTCCTCCTGTGAACACAGTTGACTTGTTTACACCGCTTGTACCGGATGCTTATCTGCCTCTTCCTTTGTCCTGCTGTCAGTCTAATGCCTGGAAGCATATCTAAGCTGTATCCCAAACCCTGTGACCTCCCTGGTGTATCACCATGTTGCCTGCTATGCTCAATAAATCATGTCCCTGGGTAGCAGCAAATCAATCCAGTGCTTAGAAAGACGACACAAATCACAATCAGTAGCACCTTCCTGCATTGTCCAAAGGATTTAGCATGTATGAAACACCCAAAGTCTTCCTCATACTGTCCCAATTAGACCCTTTCTGAAATCTCATGTCCAGCTCAGGACTCCATATGCCAAGATGCAATCAAGGAGTTTCAAAAAAGATTTATACAACAATCTAGATTACAACCTAGTAAATACCAAGAAAAGCTAAAAAGTATTTAGCCTGGAAGTGTTTGAGCCTGTTCTCAGCCAATGCAGAATACCAGGTCACTACAGACTGAAACGTTGATTGCCTGCCGCTCTGCGCAAAACACAGAAGACCACTATGGAGGAGGGTTTTTAGGACATGCAACCCAAACATTCATCTAGACACGCTAAGTCTAGTGTATTGATCAAGAAATCCAGAGTTACACTAGAATGTACTAATTTCCCCCAGGGAATTACTTGGCCTGGATTTCATGCTTTGCACTGTGCCCTGGGCATACTTCTGGGACAATCATGGAAAGGGCATTGGGATGTCCCCTCCTGACTTATCAGGTCAACAGGGACACATTACTCAGGGATCCCGCCATGACAGCTTCATTAAGAAATATCTTCATCTACTAATGTCAACAAAAGCTTACCCCTTTCCTAAGTTAGCTGTTTAATGCTTCCTTGTTTTCTGTTACAAAATTCAGTAACAAATTTATAGTCAAATTCAGATGACTCTAGTAAACCACACCTCCACCAGGTCTCTCCTCAAATGTCAGGGAGATCTTCCCCAACAGCCCTTTATAAAATAGCCCCGACCCACACTCCTCGGCCAGCCTCCCGCTCCCCTTTCCTTATTTAACTTTTCTCTACAGCACCTGCTCAGCATTTGAGATCCTTTATACAGTACTGATTTGTTTGGGTTTTATCTTTTTCCCCACTAGCAAGTAACCACAGTAATGGCGGACGCTGCTTCTCTCCTGGAACCCTGGCCACAGGAACACTGCCTGACAACAGTGGGCACTCAGTGCACTTAGTGAGTGAACCAATACGAATTCCCCCAGAGAGTTTCTGGGCCCGAATTTCATGCTTTGCTGGAAAAGAGTGGCCAACTGTGTAAAACTCTATGGTCTCCATTTCAACTTTCTCCATGAACTTGAAGTCTGATTTTAAATTACATATTTACCCAGTTCTGATGCATGTACTGTTTTTGTTTTTTCTTTTTAAAGTATTTGTGAAAGCCAGCTTAAATCTTTTGTAAAATGAAGGAGATAGCAGACAGAGAGATAGGCATAAACAGATACAAAGGATGATCTAATTATCAAACATGCTGCATTTTAACAGATGGTAAAGTCTCCACTGAGGATAGAAGAGGAAACGAGCCAAACGGTACAACTATTAATTAAGCAGAGTAACTTTTATTCCACACCTGAGCATTCTCCTCCCATCAGTGCAGCATCCGGTGCTGACATGGCTGGGTGTCACTACCATTTAAGGAGGGTGGCCCACTGAGAAACCCTCCTGGCTTCTCTGGCCACTCCCACACATCTCACTATCCACACATCTCACTATCCACACATCTCACTACGGTGGGGCCTCAGGCACCGAGGGCTACTTTTTGCCATGGATGTGTCTAAATGGTCCACACCATACTCCCCATCACTCTGGAATTCTTTGAAAGGAGATGAATGGTTTCTAGAATTTTTTTGAAATATGGTATACCTCTCCCCAAAACACACTCCCACATATAGAGCTATTGAAGACACAATCCCGTAATGATCAGACGTAGAACAAGAAGATGCATGAGACCAGACCAACTTCATTCCACATTCCACCTTAGGTGAATTAAAGACACATGAGGGCAGGAGAAAACGAGGTGTGGTGCACATGAGGGATGAGCACTTATGGGGAGGGTCTCACCTGCTTGACCAGAGTCACCGTCCCTGGTGCCATGGCAACCACCGAGGCAAGAGCAGTGGCATCATGGGTCTCGGTGCCCAGCTCGATGATCTGCTGCAGGATGTTTACGGCTGTGGGGTCAAATCGGTCACCTGATGAGGAATAAGCAAACAGGACACCATTCAGGCCCCTGGCACTGAAGGACAGAAAATGCAAAACCAGCCCAGCCCCTCCATTCTCACAGGTGATGCTTTCCCCAGAGGACACACAGGTCCTCCGTAATCACTCATTTTGACAACAGAGATAATCTGTGTGGTACTTTACAGCTTACAAAGCATTTTCTATAAGAACATCTCAAAACCCCAAGCAGCACTGTGAGAAGATGACATTGTGATATTACCCCCGTTTCATACATCTGTCACTTGGGGCATTGGGTCAATTATATCACAAAGCCAGAACTTAAGAACATGTGTTCTGAATCCTAACTTCAAGGCACAAAGACAGCCTCTCCAAGTGGAACCCCCATAGGGTGCCAGTGACGTGTTCAACTGCACAGTCAGTGTCCCTTGGGCATGTGGGCAGTGGCCAGTGAAAGTGTGCCAAGTAAATTCCACAAGTTACGGGCAAAACATCCAGGGGTGTCTCAATTACCCAGTGGGCTTTAGAATTCCAAACCAGTTTAAGCTTGGGGTTCTATTTTAATCATCTCAAAAGCCTGGAATCCATATCACCAGGGCAGCTATTTAGTGTGCCCCGCCTGCTCTCACCATCTGTCTGGCCATCTGTAACCCTCCAGAGCGCACCCTGACCCTGATCATTAATTTACTGAAAGGGAAATTACTGCTTGATCTCCATGTTAGCACAACATTATGAGTCTCTGCCAAAGTGTGCACCCTCATGGGCAGCTTTTTGTGGGCTACATTCCAATGTGGGTCAATCGATAAGAGATCAGAGAAGGGGGATTCAACATGTTCCACTTGAAGGGTGGGCTGCAGCATGTGAGTGGGAGACGACCTGTGCATATTCACAACGCACTCCCCAGCACATCCCCCTCAGGGGAGATGACGCACGTGTCTTGTGGCCGACCACTTCAAACATCCAAGGACTAAAACGTTTACCTGTACATCTCATTGAGGCGAGGTTCTAATTCCTCATCCATTTACTACTTCAGCAACCATTTATCAAGCCCTGTCAGCCGGAAACTGCTGTTCACAGTGGGAATACCGACAAAGACCTCACACTCCCCCTTATCCTTCCCGTGCCTGCAGGCTCCTGAGCAGACTCACAAGCAGACCATTACAGCACTCAGTAGGGTCCTGTGTCTAGAGGGCAATTGGGGCAACAGTGATGATGAGTTAGGTGGGTTCTCAGTAGGTGATACACGATCCAAGTACTGAAGATGAGGATGAGTTGGGCAGAAAACATGTTGTGAGGGGCAAGGGACCAGGCCACACTCCAGGGAGCACTGGAGCGTACACCCATGCTGAGAACTGCAGCACCCGACCAAAGGCGGCGCAGCCCAGAGTGGGGTGGTGAGACGCAGAGACGGGGCAGCGCAGGCAGCCAGGAGCCACGGCAGGTGGGCCCAGCTTGTTGAGCTGCAAGGACAGACATTGAAGGGCTTTCAGAAGGAGTGACAGGGAGAGAGAGAGAGTATGTGTGTGTGTACATGCACACGTACACGTGTGTGCTTGTGAGGGGATAAAGCCAGGCTGCATTTTGCAGGTCTTTCTTGAGTAATCACTGACGTCACTGAACATTAAGGAGGGAAACTCAAGTTCTCACAGGGCCTCAGTGCTGGGAGCCACATTTACCAGCCTGGGCCTCCACTCTCCCGTCTGCACAAGTGCAAGCGCTGCCTCCCCATTCCCTCCAGCACAGCAGGCAGTGAACACAGCCCTGCCAATTAATCTTTCCTAAACTGAAGGGCCCAGCGAGTTTTCTGCGCAGCCTTCTCACAATCTGGGATTGAGGGACTTAGGAACTGGGCAAAATGGTGCTTTCCTAACTCTTCGATTTCCCACCCCATTTCACCTGGCCTGGCGCTCCCTTCTGGTCCCACCTGCTTGGCTTCTGCCCCTAATACCTGCAGGGCTGTGGTGTGTAACATTAACTTGTGTTCTGTGTATTTTTAAAAGAGCATAAAGAAAAACCATTTTCTAAGCATAATGCTCCAATTGCCTCTAGGCTGGCAGAATGGTTTATTTGGTTTTTAAATTGATTTAACATTTGAAAATCATAACATTTGGTGTAAAAATCCTGATTGGGCCTTTTGAGAAGAACTGGGGGAGTGAGCAATCCTGGGCCCACAGGTCTGCGAGGTGACTCCCCCACTGAACCACAGTCTTGGCCACTCTCCATGTCCCACTGAGCCCATGCCACCCACTGCCACTGCCCACCCAGCCCCTGTGGACTCTGCAATAAGCCCCCTCGAGTAGGTGACCACGAGGAAGCATGGAACAGGACAATGCTCCAGCGAGGTGTCAGAAGACCTAGATCCCAGCACCAGCACCAACTCCCAAAAGTGGGTGACCCTCTGCCACCCATTAACAGTGAAAAGTGACCTGACCTTGTGTATCTGTGAAGTGAAAAGAGTAAGAGCTGCTTCTCTCACAAGGTTGTTCTGAGACTTAAACACGCTGAGATTTGGGAAAACCTTGCAACCCTGTTATAAAGCCCCACTTCTCCTCTAATTCTAGAACATGTCTAATTTCTGGAACATCTCTGGTGCCTGACAATGGGACTGCTTCCACAGTCAGGGATTTTAAAGTAGATCAACCCCATGGACATCATTCATTTGCAAATGTATTCAATCAGCATGTCTAGTGAAGACCAGTTCTGAGGTGTCAAAGGAAGCCAGGGCATGCCCCCTCACCACTTTCAGAGGTGTATCTCAGGTCCTGGAGCGCGGCCACTGCTGCCTGTGTCCCCTGAACATCTTCTTCAGCCTCTGCGATGTGGAGATACTGGGTGGAGGGTTCCTCAGGAGCTTCTGTTGCTGTCTAAATAAAAACATAATACCTAAATGACCTTCTAAAAGAACAATTGTTGCCCAGAAGTTGCAGGATAATGTATTAAGACAAAACAAATGCACATAAGAAAGCAATACTTTGCAACATCTCATTTACCTGGCATCCCTGAGAAACCAGTTGCTCCGATAAATATACTTCCCAAAGAGAAACCTTCTCTTTACAAGTACCAAGCCTTTTTAAAACCAGCTTTGGTGGAAAGCTCCTTGGCGCACACTCTTGTGGTTGGGAACAGAGCATGCTGTTCATAACTAGATATTTGAAGAGCTCAGCTCCCAACGCTGCATCTACTCTGCCCCTTACATAGGTGCCTGGGGCCACGTGGCCAGCAGAAGGAGCGGCACAGCACCTGGGAAGCTAATGGTGGAAAGGAGAGGATGGGTGATTCCATCACAGATGGAAAGCACGGGTCCTGGCATGCGGTAAAAATTCAGTAAATCTTAGCTATTCGTGCCATTCTTATTTTTATATGAAGGTGTGAGAAACAAAACTGACTGCAAGAAATATATTTGTGCAAAATCAGGATTTGTGAGAGTAGGAGGAGCAAAAGCGACATTCAGAGGTACCTTGTACCTCAAGGAGAGAAAAGGTGTAACAGAATTTTCACAGAACTAGATGTTAATAACATTTTTTTTCTAGAAGGGAAGGGGAGTGCAAGCAAAACTATCAGGCAGGACACACGAATGTCACCAATGAAGAACAGAAAAGAGGACTTGAGACAAAATTTATAGAAGTCAAGTTATGCTCTATAAGCACTTATCAGTAATGACATAGAGGTTCGGAATAGCATATAATTATTCTTTTACAGCCAACTGGCCGAGTTCATTTTGGTGTTTCCAACCTGACATATAGTAGATATCCAATAAATATTTGATGAATGCATAAATGAACAAAAAGAAGAATATTTTCTTTTAAGTACTATTAAGTGGCATATTAGCCAACACTGGATCCAAGCAATGCCTTAGCCTATGAAAGGACAGGATGCACACTAAATGGTTTCTCCTCATTCTGGGAAAATGCTGCATAATAATCACTTTCAGGAAGGATGGTGCTCTTTGCAAGGCATTCCTGGGAGTCAGGTGACAGCACGCACTGCTGTAATAGGCAGCTAGTTATTGCACTGGTGACCACCCCATGCCCACCTTGCTGCCTGCTCTGTTATCTCACTATGGCATCAAGTACATGGCTTTCTGTCAACTATTTTTGGTGAGTCTGTAGCTCTGTTTGAGGTGTTCAAATCTGCTGGAAGTGAGGCCCTTGGGGAAAGGGATATCATTGCATGCATTTACAAAAGCATCGACTAACCAAGTTTTACATCAGGAATTGACATTCCAACATCTATTTTTGTTAATAAAGAGTAAATTCTTGCAGTATGAACTTGAAACACCAAGTTATTGTTTTAGCATAGATGAAGATGTGAAGTTGATGATGCCATCATCGTCAGCAACAATCGTGATAGCTGCCATTTTCTCAGGGTTTACTGGGGGTTAGATATAGACGTTAGCGTCTTACACATGGTTTCTCTCAATCCCTTCAATCTCTCAAGTACTATCAGCCTCCTGTATGGATAAGAACACCGAAGCCACAAAGGTTAAACCATGGCTCCAGGTCAAGCAGTTTACAGGTGACAGAGATAGGATTCAAAGTAAAATCTGTCAGACTCCAAAGCTCCTACTTAAAAAAAAATTATAAAAAATTTCAAACACATAAAAGCAGCAAGGTAAGTATAATAAACCTCCATGTACCCATCAACCAATTTCAACAATTATCAACTCATGGCCAGTCTTTCCTCCCCTAGGCACCCACACACTCCATGCCCTGCTCTTGGATTATTTTGAAGCAAATCCAGAAATCATCGTTTCTTCTATAAATATTTCAGAATCTCTAAAAAATAAAACTCTTCCAAAACATAACTACAATGCCACTGTCACACTCAAAAACTTAACGAGTCCTCAATATCATCAAGTATCTAGGCAATGTTCAAATTTTTCCAATTATCTAATTTTCAAGTTTGTTCAACTCACATCTAAATGAGGGTCACACATTAGAACTGATATGTCTTCTAAGACTAAAACTCTCTATGCCCTTCCTCCATTTCTGACATTTTCCCCCTTTGAAGTTTAATTGTTGAGGAAGGCAGGCTGTTTGCCTTACATGGCTTTCAATAACCTGAATTTTGCTGATTGCATCACCATGAAATCAATAACATGGTCCTCTGTCCACCGTATTTTCTGTAAATTAGTAGTTAGACATAAATGTAAAAGCTTAATCAGATTCAGGGTCTCTTTTAACAAGAATGTTTCATGGGTTATATTGTGTAATCCCTTCAGGAGACACATACTGTGCGGTTGTCTCTTTTTTTGTAATGTTGGTCATAACTAATGACCATTGCTAGATCTTTGACATCATTAGAAAGTTGAAAAATGGTAATATTCTAATTTTTCATGTGTTAGCTGAAATAATTCTAAAGGAAAACTTCCCCTCATCAAATGTTTGGTTATGCTTAGTTTTTTTTTTAAAAGTAGAATAATTGGTTGATTCTTGGCCTTAATTTACCAATTTTCAAGTTCAAAGAGTTGATTCTCTACCATCTTACAAAGGTGACTGAATTGTTCTTTTCCAAATATCAGTATAAGCTCATGGAATTAAACTCATTTTATGTGTTTCACTGTGGTTAATAAACACTAACAACAGCCTCAGAATTATAATATCATCCCTACCACCAATAGAATAACTGAAAACAGTGCAGTTGTTGCAGTTCTCTTTGCCCTTAGGTTATAACACATTAGGGGGGTGCAATCGAATGACTGCTTTGAAACCTCTTGAAATAGTTCCTCTCTGTATAGTTATGCCACCAATTTGATATACAGTTAGGATCATTTCATTTTAAGACTTGCTTTTTTAAAAAGTTAATTTTGTTTTTATTATTATATAAAACATTTTCATGGTATCAGAGTCAAATCTACACCACAGGGTATGTTAATTTAATCTTACCCCGGCCCTCATCCGTTCCATCTTGTTCTCTGCCTCCCTTCCCTATGTACAACGTCCACATTTTTTATTTTTTCTAACTTACACAAGAACCGCAAAGATAGTACAACACAGACTTCCTATAGACCCTTTACCCTTCAACATCTTACTTAATCATTGCAAAACCATCAAAACTAAGAAATTAACACTGGCGCAACACTACCAACTAAACCACAGGATTTATCCAGATTCCTCCAGTTTTTTCATTAGTGTCCTTTTTCGGTTCCAGGACTCAATCCTGCATCCCACAGAGCACTTAGTCCTCATGCCTCACAGCCTCCGCCCATCCGTGACAGTTCCTCAGTCCTTCCTTGTCTTTTATGACCTTGACATGTTTCAGAAGTATGGGTCAGTATTTGACCACACACGTCATTTGGATTTATCTGGTGGGTTTGCATAATTAGACTGGGGTTGAGGACTTTTGCGAAGAATACCTCAAGGTGAAGTGCCCTTCTCATCATACCGCAACAGGTGATACATGATGTCAGAACGTTTTATCACTGATGATGCCAGCCTTGATCACTTGGTTAAGGGTTCCTACTTTTCCCTTTGTAATTAATAAATACTTGGAAATAGTTTGAGATTATGCAAATATCCTGTTTCTCCTTAAACTTTTGCCTGCTATTAATAATTTCAGCATTCATCAATGGATCTCGCCTGCTGCAGCTGTTTCTGTGCTATTCTACTGGTGTTTTCTATTTCTCTCATTCCTTCTACAGTTATTAATCAGAATTCGTTTGTGGGGAAGAGTAGTTCCTTATTATTTATTTATTCAATCATTTATTTATATCAGCATGGACTCACAGATATTGCTTTTGATACTCAAATTCTTGTAGCTTTGGTCACTGGGAGCCCTTTCAGGCTGTCTCCTCTGTTCTTTTGACATATGTGTAGCCATCTTTATTTTATCGATTGATGGATTGAACGTGTCATTACTTTCCAGCACCACAAGGTGTTCCAGGATCATCTTGTATATGTTCTTCCTCACCCTTGGAATCAACCACTTGTTCAAGGGACCTGGTTCCTTTTATTGGAGAATGTTATTACAAACCAAGATGTGGGCACTGCTGCCAGAGTGTCACTGCTTCTAGCCCTCTAAAACAAAAAGTCAGGAAATTCATGTATGTATACTAACCATCTACAGCACATAGGTTCTTTTTAACGTGAGCTTATGGTGATAGTGCAACGTCTGACTCACAGCTACCGGGTTCATGCCAGCTGTGCCCCTAACATTTATTTGTAACTTCTTTCTCCAGCAATGAGAAAACTGGCTCCCATTATCTACGATGTATTTACTTATTTTTTCAATCATAATCCATGCATAAATGGGTTCAGAATTACTAACCCACACTGCTATGAGAAATACATTTCTAACTAGGTCACAGCACTTGTCTATAGTGCTTTTTTCTTTAGCCTAAGAGTATCCAGTCAACTATCTTCCAAAGTTACCAAATTCAGCTCCTTTTGTCCCCACTCCCTCCAGTGTGATTATGTCATTCATTTGTAACAAAGATTCATTTGCCACGTATGCTCTTTTTTCAAGTTTTTTGTTTATCTTTCAACTTTTTCTAAAAATATAAACACAGTACACGTGCACACACTGTTCTTCACCTCACTTTTTTCACTTAACACTGCCCTGCAGATCAGGCAAACCACAGAGACATCCTTTCTTCCCTCCCACAGCTGCATGGTTCTGTACCGTGTAAGTTGTACGTAAGGCATTCACCCAGCCTCTCGTTGATGGACACTAGGTTGTTTCCAGCCACATACTACTATCAACAGCACTGCAATGAATACCTTGTGCAGACATCTTTTCTCATTTTATCCAGTGTAACTTTGAAATTGTTTCCTAACAGTGGGATTGTTTAGTTAATGGATAAAGAACTACATGTGTAATTTTGCTACATATTGTTATTCCCTTATAGGGTTGGACCATTTTACATTCCCAGCAGCAACGTATGAGAGCAGATTTCCTTCCCTCTAGCCTCTCCAGCAAAGATGACACTAAACTTTTCGATTACTGTCAATCTAATAGGTGAGAAATTCTATCTCAGTCTAGTTTTAATTAACATTTCTTTTACTATGTGTGAGGCTGATCACGTATGCAGATATTTGAGATATGTATGCAGATATTTACATTTCTTTTTCTCTGAACCTTTCTAATCTCTTGCCTATTTTTCTATTGGGTTGTTGATCTTCCTCTTCACTATTTTAACAGGGCTTCTATAGAATAAAGATATTAATTTCTACAATATGACAAAAATATTTTTATCATTTATCTTTTTGCTTATTTATGAGCTCTTTTCCATAAGACTTTAAAAATTTTTTCATGTAGTCAATATTTTTCAATCTTTTCCCTTATTAAATCTGGATTTCAAATTATAGTTAGGAAAGTTCTCCACACTCTCAGTTTATAGATGAATTCGCTCATCTTTTATTTTAGCATTTGTGAAGTATTTCTGTTTTTATGTTTAAATCTCTGATCCTTTTGAAATTTGTCTTATATAAGTTATGAAAAACAGATCCGGTTTTATCTTTTCTCATATGGTTATTTGGTTATACTACATCATTTATTAAAAAGCCCACCATTCTCCTACCAACTGGAGACACCATCTTTATCATATAATAAATTTCCGTATATCACTAGATCTATTCTAAATTTTCTACTCTGTTTCATTAGACCATCTATTCATGCACAAATAACATACAGTCTTAGTTATGAAGGTTTCATATCATGTTATAGTATCTGGTAGGTTTCTCCTGACACTGATGTTTTTCCCAAGATTTTCCTAGCTATTTATTCATAAATGAACTTTAGAAATTGGACTTGATTAGCTCCAGAAAAAAATCTAATGGTATTTTTATTTTGATCATATTACATTGATAAATTATTGTATAAATGACCTTCAGGAATATTAACATCTTTATGATGTTAAATATTCCTATCCATGTGCTCAACTCTAAATTTATGTCTGTTTCAGGAGTGTTTTATAGTTTCCACATTTACATTTTGGACATTTCTTGTTAGGTTTATGCCTTGATTTATCTGGGTTTTGTTTCCTATAATAAATAGGGTTTTTGCTTCCATTCTAACTTATTTTATATATGTGTATATATATGTGTATGTATATACAGGTATAGACATATCTATTTTATATATATACATAAATGTGTGTGTATATATGCTGCTGATTGTGTATGTTGACTTTTTGTCTGCTGCTTATTGTTTGTATTGGTTTTTCATTCATTCTTTGGGATTTCCTAAAAATATTAATATAATCCTATCACATGCAATTAGAGATGCTTTTATTTCTTCCCTTCCAGTTCTATGTCTGTGTTTGCTTTGCCTTGTCTAACCACACTGGCCGATGCCCACGACACAATGCTACAGTGCATGCAGCAGAGCTGCGGGGCACACTTATCTTACTTCCGACTTCAGTGGAAACCGTCTAATGTTTCCCAATGAAATAAGATGCTAATGTCTGGGGCTGAGTCATGTATATTTTTTTTCGTCTTAGGGATACAGCCATCAAATTCTGTGTTATTGACTGTTTTTCATCGGTGAATACTGAATTTTTTCAAGCATCTTTCCTGCATCTATGGTGATGACCATTTCATTTTTCTCTCTAGTTCTATTATTACAATAAACTATATTAACACATTAACTCCTCTTGAACTCACTCTTCCAGAATAATCCTCGCATGGTAATAATGTATTATCTTTTCTTTCAGGTGCTGTGGATTCTGTTTAAAACCCTTTACTCTTAATCACTGGACCCTTTGTAAAGTCCTTACATCAGCTGGGTGGGATTTTGACCCCAGGGAACACTGAACATTGGTAATGTCTTGAGATGTTTTTGGATGAATCCAGTGTGGGGGAGGGGGAATCATGGTACTGGTAAGTAGTGGGAAGAAGCCAGAAATGCAGCTAAACTTCCTACAAGGCACAGGACAGCACTCCACACCAAAGAACTATCCAGACCAAAATGTCAATAGCACTGAGTCTGAGAAATCCTGCCTTAGGTAACTGCGATTAGTCCATGGGAGTGACACCAGTATTTGAAGAGAGAGATGGCTCCTGGCTCTTGTACTACAGATGTATTTTCAGCCAGATGACTAGTCCCAGCTCCTAAGGGGAAAAACAAAGAAGGCAAGCGGCAGCACACGCCTTCCCACAGAGGGAGAGTAGGGCCTAGCACCAAGAAAGGGAGCCCTCCCAACTCCCTTGGTAAGGAGGGCAATATACTCCTTGCCTTCCATTCTCTTTTCAGGTACAACATCTGAAACTCTGATTTGTAAATAACAGAAGTAAAAATGTCAATGAGGTCAATACGAACCTTCACCAAAGAGTCTAAATTCAATTCAGAATAAGAATTCACATGCATAGCCCACATCTCACCTGGTTTATACCCCTCGGCCACGAGATTTAATTTGAAAAGGTTTCAGAAATTCCCAACCAGAAAATCCAATGCTCTAAGAAATAGCTGTCTGTGCCCAGTAGTTGGGCTTGCCTGGTTTGTTATTCGTGCTTAGAAATGTCAAGATCAATACCACACTCTAAAAAGTTACCTCCCACTTGGGGTCTCCATCAATTTCCACCACCTTCAAGCCATGTTTGTTCTTCAAGTGCCTGTTGAACTCCCATTTGGTGCCATACACAAAGCTGCACACAGGGCACTTCAAGCCACCTGAAAGCAAAGACAGAGGTAAGAAGACATGGCATTGCACATAAAAATGCAACAGTTCCTCCTATCTAAATGCCTCAAATGGAAAAAGTGTATTATTTTGTCTCCAGCACTTACATTCAATCCAAGCTTACCTTAGCACTGGAACACAACAGCAACACAGTGTGTTATGTTTTCCAGGGCAGAGATTTTAAAAATTAATGTACTTTTTTCATTTATTGAATAAGCATTTACAGAGAACCTATCATGTGCTTGACAGTTTAAGTGACAGAGGGAACTAAGATGAGTAACATAATTCCCGACCATGTGGATACGTGGCTTAAATTGTTCTTTCATTTTTTTCATTTGTAAATAAAACATAATTTAGAAAATAAAAATGGCAATGGCTACTTTTCTCAATCTCTTTTGTCCCAAAACACTAAGAGCAGGAGCCAGATTCTCAGTCTCCTTCACATCAGAAGCTAAGTCATTCATATATACTCCCACGTAAATTTCCCAGTAAAGAATAAATTAAAAAGCTGGTCACATCCTGAAATGGCACTATTTATTGAACTGATTAAATTTTGCACATGTTCTGGGAAGTGTTTGGATGCTTTAATTAAGAGAATATAAAACTCTAGGTTTCTAGGTTAAAAAAAAAAAATACCAAAATTGGAGAGTCACACAAAAGACTATCTTTTTACAATTATATCAGAAGCAGTAGCTCAATTGGAGCCTGGAGAAAACTCTCTCTGAACAGATTGTGCCTTCAGAAGCAAAGTCCAGCCTCAGGAGGCTCACTATGGTCCTGGAGTCGGGCCTCCAGGCCACTGGACTAAGCCAGACCAACTGCTGGCACTATCAGGCCTCCCTGCTGAGCTGGGCCTGGGCAGTGGCTGCCCTCACAAAGTCCCCATGACTTCAGCTGTCTGGAACTTTGAGGCTAACCGATTCCAGCAGGTCACTCCTGAGTCAAGAGCTCCCTGACCCGTGTCCTCCCCTGCCACGCACCCAGCTTCTGCTCTGCTTTCTCTCTCTGACCCCATGGCTTGTCCTGTCCACACCAGTCCTCCCACTGTATCCTAAAGACTCAGAACTCCTGGACAACAAAATTCCCAACATTGGCCTCATCAGAGAGAGCTTGCTCCTTTCTCTGCCCTTTGAGCAGAGGCCACTCAGGCTCACGAGCCCCAAGGGAGGAGGAGGCCAGGGCAGGACAGAGCAGGGCAGTGGCACCCTCTCCCCTGCAGAGGAGGAGCATCTCCTGGTTTGCCCCTCCTGCTCACAGGGCCACGCCCATCAGGAACTTTGGCACCTGCCCTCTCCACCCCAGGGTCAAGTGACTTTAATGCACCATCTCACAGTTACCCAAGAACTTTACTTATCACTTCACTACCTGTGTGAAATTTCATTCACATGATTATTTAGCACCATGCATGGGGCTCAATCCAAACATCCCACTCTAATGACCGCCAGCCCTCTTGCTCTCTCTCACTGGAGCTACCGTTATTCTTTGACTTTGGAAGCTTCTCCTGTTTGCATCCTCTCCCATTTTCTCCCAACTTGCCCCTCGCCCTTCTAACTCTGTTTCCCTCTCCAAAGAGGGGAGGAAGGGAGGAAGGGAGGGAAGACGGAAGGAAGAAAGGAAGGAAGGAAGCCAGGTAGGCCGGCCCACTAAGCTGCCTGGGTACAGCCCTGTCCTCCTCCTTCCTTCACAGCTGGGATTCAGTGGAGTCTCTACTTCCAAGACCTCACCAGAGTATGGTGTTATCAGCTACTCCTGAGTGGACAATGGGCAAGCAGAGGAGGGCCAGTTTCCACTAACCATCCTCCTGTATCTTTTAAATTTTATTCCACAGGAGAGAGAGTGCCCTATTCAAAAAAATTGCTGAAATTAAGATTAGAAATCTAAACCAGAAAACTATTATGAAGTCATCACTTCTTTGTTCATTACTTAGGCCAGTGGTTCTCGACTGGGGGTGACCTAACATGCAATGTCTAGAGAAGCTTTCAGTTGTCACAGCTGGGGGGAGGGCTCCTGGCATCTGGTGTGTAGGGCCCAAGGATACTACTGAACACCCTACAACGCAAAGGACAGCCCCACAACACGGGGTGATCTGGCCCGACTGTCAGCAGCCGCGATGCTGAGAAGCTCCGCCTCACACCATGGCACATACTTCCTGTGCCTGAACCTTTCCTGGCACTGCACATGTCAGGATCAACTGACTTCCACGTTGGTTAATCCAACAAACATTTTTCACTCTTCATCTTACTACCAGTACCACCACCACCACCACCACCACCACCACCACTAACATCATACATCTTCCACTCACGGGGCAGTTATCAGGTGTCAGACATTAAGTCCAACACATTAAGTCTCGCTTTCGTCACAATCAGCCCAAGCACAGAGGCATGCTTGCCTTGTTTAATACAGAGGCTCCACAGTAAAGTAAACTTTGTGAGGCTGTAAAACTAAGAACTGAATCTGACTCCAGGTTTCACGCCCTTAACCTCGGCTGTGCTGCTGCCCAGTGTGACGTCTGTGCGTTGTAAGGCAACGTTGACTACAGCCACCAGCCAAAATCCATTTTCTTCCTGGGCTTCAGTGACATCACTCGTTCCTGGTTCTGCTACCGGCATCTCTCTGACAAACTCCTGTGCAGGCTCTCATCCTCTGTTTGGAGTCCTAAAGCCCTCAGTCCCTTCTGTATCCCTGACATGCATATCCAGTGATGTCCAAAAGTATCCCATTTCTCCAATGCACATGTGAACAAGTGACCAAGATGCTTATGCTTAGGCAGCAAAAGAGCTGAGCTGACCACTGAGTGTATCTCAGGCTGCTGTATTTATGTACTGCTCATGGGCATAGAGGAAGAAGTAGAGGAATTCTGCACTGACATCAAGGTTGTCTGGACAAATTATAGAAGGACCATGTCAATCTCATGGGGTTCTATCACACAATTTAATCATTTCCAGATGCAGTCGTGGGGTGCTCAACCTCCTAAATCGATCCTATGTCAGTGAAATCTCAACAGAGCATTTTCTCGTCTTACCAACTGAGATGGCGGGTGATTCTCCAATCATTAGCATAAACAATAGCCAACCTGCAGGCCTACACGCATCCCCAGCACCTCCTGCTCTCTGCTTTCAGGTCCCTGCCCTGGGAGCGTGTGAGAGCGCACAGCGGGCCTGACAGAGACAGAGGGCAGAGGCAGGTGGCTCCTGCCGTTGGCAAAAGGGCTGGCAACGGGCACCAAACTCTTACGTTTCAGAATATTCTCCAGAAAAGGCAGCTTGAATGGATGTTTATTTTCTGAAACTCAAAAACACTGCACCTTTTGTTAGGCAAAACCAAATGGGCTTGTTCTTTCTTGCCCAGAGGATAATTAAACTTAGTTTTTAACCTCCTTTTTTGTCACTTATTATTATAATCACCTAAAATGGTATCTTTTCCTATGATCATCTTCTAAAACACTCCAAGGTGTGAGGACTTCTACTTTTTTTGGCTAAACTGACAATGCTTCTCCTATAAAGACTTAATATGTGACCGTGAACAAAACCGAACTACATTTTAGGCTTCTAAATGAAATTAAAGATTCCTTCTGGGGCTCTCTTTAATGAAAACTAATTTAGAGAAGAAAACATTCTTATATTATGTTTAAATTAAACTTAATATGATAATGCCCTCACATTAATTAAAACTTCAACCTTTGCCACAGTGACTTTAATTAAAGAACAAATGAAAATATGTAATAGACCAAATGTGTAACTATGCCAGTTAATTGACATCAGAGCTGAGAGACATTAATTTCTATTGCAATTCATTGAGTTCTTAGGCAATGCACAGTAAAGGTCAGTGGAAGACGCGTGGATTTACTCACAGCATTGACATTAAGTGCACACCATAAAAACTACAAGCCCTCAGATCACAGTTTCCTCAAGTGGGCTGATTAACCAGGCAAAAATATAAAATTTCAGGAGTAATTTTAAAAATCGATTGTGGTATCCTTTGCTCTTTTTGGAAGGCAATATATTCTAGGGAGTTTTAGGCATGAAAATATTTGTGCTCCTATGTAGTGCTTGACATTATTGAAAATTCAATTTCATTTTCAATAACATAACTCCAGGGGCAGCGTGGAACGCTGGGTGGGGAGTGAGAGGAGATGAGTCTGGCATGCGCTCACACGACCCAAGACTTCCTTAAACCCCAGGTCTTAGTGTTCTCTTCTACTAAAGTAAAAATGCTAAAGCTCATAACCTTTGAAAAGGCACCGCATGCAGCAGGCAGAATAATGGGCCCCTAAAAGACAGCCATATCCTACTCCCCAGAACACGTGACCATGTTACCATACATGACAAAAGACACTTCGCAGATGTGGTTCAGCTAAGGATCCTGGGGTGGGGGGATTATTCTGGATTGTCTGAGTGGGCCTAATATAATCACAGGTCGTTATGAGAGGAAAGCAGAAGATCACAGTGATGCAATGTGAGAAAGACTCCACTGGCCACTGCTGGCTGGAGGGAGGATGGAGGGAGGGGCTGGAAGCCGAGGCACATGGGCAGCCTCAAGGAGCAGGAAAAGGTGAGAAAGTGGATCCTCCCCTGGAGTCTGCACAAGGAATACAAGTTCCTTAGCACCTTGATTTTAACTTGGTGAGACTCACTTTGGACCTTCAGAACTAAGATAATAAATTTGAGTTGTTTTAAGTCACGGCCAAGTTTGTGGTGATTTGTTTCAGCCGCCATCGGAAACTAACACAGGGACTAAAGGATAACTAAAACAAAAGAGGTTAATTATCAAAGCAAAGTGAATACAGAGTAATTTTATTTTGTAAGAGTAATGAGTGAAATATAGAATAGGACTTTGTTGACATTCTCATTTCCTGTTGTCTTTTTTTTTCTTTTGTACTGATGGAGTCTCACTATATTGCCAGGCTAATCTTAAACTTCTGGCCTCACATGATCCTCCCAACTCAGCCTCCCAAAGTGCTGGGATTATAGCCAGGAGCCACCATGCCCGG